CTCCCCTCCCCTCTTCCTCCTCCCCTTCCTCCTCTTCCTCCCCCTCCTCCTCTTCCTCCCCTCCCCCTCCCCCCTCCAGTATCTCCTACAATCAGTGTGCTCCATAAGCAGACAGAAGTGTGGGTGCGATCTCGCGGGGGGCCGGGAATTCCGGCAGGGGCGTCCCTCGGCCTTGGGAGAGACGGTTAGGTTGAGGGGCCGAGGTCCCCTCCCTGCGGGCCTGCGGCAGGACGCGTGTGAGGTCCTAGGGAGGCTGCGGCCCCGGCTCCCGCCTGGACAGATGCCCCATGGCCGCCCCGCACCGTCTGACCGGCCTGGGGCAGGGGCAGCCGAGCTCGCCGTCCGCGTCCCTTCCCCCGGGGCCCCGGGGCCAGGCACGATGCAGGCGGACCGTGTGTACCGTGGCTCCTGGTGTTTGTCTCTTCTCTTTAACACCTGCCCGGCCTGTGGGAGCACCGCCTGGAGCCGAGCAGCGCTGGGACTGCGGACGTCGGAGCCGCAGCAGGCCGAGAGGGCTCCCGGCGCCGGGCCCCAGCTCATCAGGCTCCGCGGATTCTTGTTTGCGTGGGGAGGAGGGAGGAGATGGGCCAAGTTCCCTCTGCCTGGAACGCCCTTCCCCCCCTTCTTCACCTGGCGAACTCCTACTCGTCTGTCAAGACCCAGCTCCAGCGGCGCCTCCTCCAGGAAGCCTTCCTCGACTGCGCCCTCTGCCTCCGCACACCCCGCACCCTGCTCTTCCCCTCCTCTGTCTGTGGTTGTCACTGAGACTGGGAGCTCCTTGCGAGCAGCATCGTGTGCCTGTCTGTCCCGGGGCTGTGTCCACCTGGCCCCTCGGGGTGTGGAGAATGTTCTGTGAACAGCACCCAGGGTACTCCGAAGGGAGGGGCGGGGCCTGAGGACAGAGCTGGGTGATGGCCCGCTGGGTGATGGCCCGAGGCAGGTCAGGGTCGCTGTCCTGCCCCCCGTCAGCCTCAGGAGCCCACGTGGAGGCCCGGCACGGGGCTCCTCTGCTGCTGGGGGAGGGGCGCACATTCTGCCCCTGGGTCCGAGGGCAGGGACCCGCGGCTGCCCCTCCCGCCCGCTGAGCCGGCCCTTTGTCCCCAGGTCACCTCGTTCAGCACCCCGCCCACCCCGGAGCGGAGCACGCGGCCCGCCTTCTTCTCCCCATCGCTCAAGAGGAAGGCGCCGCGGCACGGGATGACGGAGATGAAGAAGTCGCACTCGGCCAACGACAGCGAGGAGTTCTTCCGGGAGGATGACAGCGCAGGTGACCCTCGGCGCCGCGCCGGGCCTCCCCCCGCCCCGGACCACCTGCCACCCAGAGGCGGGGTCCCCGTGACCGGGACGGCTTCCCCTGGCGGCCAGCGTGGCGTCCGCCACCGACCTGGGAGATGCGGTAGAGCTGGCCCCGCCCCCGGGAGCCCCCACCGTGTGCTGGCCGAAGGGGGGGGGCGGCGGCCTGCTCCCGCCCCCAGGTGCCCGCCCAGGTCTCGCCACAGCAGGGGCCCGGGCTGGGGGCGGTGCCAGCTCTACCCATCCCAGCCTTGCCACCCCATGGCACTGCACACCGTGGGGTGAGCCCTAGCCGGGAGGGAGGGGCTGTCAGGGAAGCCTTCCTGGAGGCGGAGGCGTGGGGGTGGGGGAGGAGCCCTGCAGGGGGGAGGGGCCCGGACTGGGCCCGCTGCGCTCGCGGCCCTGCAGCCAGCCTGACCCGGCCCTCTCTGCCACAGCCGACCTGCACAACGCCACCAATCTGCGCTCCAGGTCGCTGTCTGGCACAGGCCGGTCCCTGGTCGGGTCCTGGCTGAAGCTGAACCGAGCCGACGGGAAGTTCCTTCTCTATGCACACTTGACCTACGTCACTCTGCCGCTGCATCGGATTTTAACAGGTAACCTGGAAACCACTCCCGCTTCTGTGCTGTGTCTCCAGGCCCCGGGCCTGCGAGTGGGGCCCCTGAGGGACCCCGGCCTCCCGGTTCGGGTGGGCGGGCCGCGGCGTCCCCAGAGCCAAGGGTGCCCCTCTGTGGCAGCCCCTGCCGTCCTTCTCGGGTGTTCCTGGGCCCGGGCTGCCAGGGAGGCGGTCTCCGTGCCCGGCCTGGGCTCCCCTAGGGGTGGGCGGGGGACAGTGCCTGCTAAGCCGCAGAGGAGAGGGTGGGGGGCCGCGCGCTCGTCTGCTAAGCCGAGGCTCCCCCTACCCCCGCCGGGCCCAGACATCCTGGAAGTCCGGCAGAAGCCCATCCTGATGACCTAGCGTGTGCAGAGCCTGCCCAGCCCTGGGAGTGCTGCCAAGTGCCTACTGTCCCCGCCACCGGGCTCTTCTGTGACAAGCCAGCGCCGAGCCGCGGCCGGCCGGGGCCGCTGGACTCTGCCAACACCAGCCACACGGAAGTGCCTCGTCCTGCCCGCCCACCCACCAGCCGGAGGGCGCCGCGGAGGGGGGCTGTGACGCCAGGCGCTTCGGCTCGCCCCTCCCCCGCTGGCCACTTGGTCAGAGCCGGCAGCGCAGGGCGCTGGCTGTGCCCCGGGCTGGGACCCCTCACCCCACGCCGGCGCCGGGAAAGGCCTCCTGCTTCCAGCCAAAGAACACCGCCGCCCTGCTGCCCCCGGCCCGCGGACTCCGGCCCAGATGGCGACCCAAGCCCCCCGTGGGGTTTGCGTTCTGAGGGCCCCCCAGCCTGCCCGGCTCTCAGACCAGCTCACTGAGGCCGAGGGAACAGGCTGGCGGCGCTGCTGTCCCAGTCAGGCCCCGGGGGAGGGGCCTCCGTCTGTGACCCCTCCCCGGGGGGAGGAAGCTGGATGCGGGGTCTCGGTCGCTGTGGGTGTTGTCTGGCGTCGCGAGGGCGGAGGGGTCTCCGTGGGCAGGAATGCAGGCGAGGAGCGCGCGCTCCGTCCGTTTTTACTCCGTGGGCTCCGGGAACAGGGGACTGCGTCGGGGCGCTCTCCAGATTTTGTATGTTGTTATTAAAAGCGAGCTATTGCATTTCATTCTGCCTCAGTTTGCCCACCTGTAAAATGGGGCTGCTACCACCTACCTCATCGAGTCTCCAGGGTTCAGCTGCACGACCAGGTCAGGGCACAAGTCGTTCACGGAGCATGGCTCGCATCTGCTGTGGGCGAGGGGTGCCGCCCTGCATCGCAGCCCAGCCCAGGGGACGTGGGGGGGGCCTCGGGACGCTCTCCCTCCCCCAGCAGTTCCCAGCCAGGTCCTAGGGCAGCCCCAAGTCAGGACAGAGCTCAGGAAGCCGTGGGCATGGCCCGCGGTCCGGGACACTGGTGTCCTCCAGGGGTGTCCGAGGTGGCCGGAACTGCTCTCCAACGCCCTGGACCTGCTGGAGCTGGGGTCTTGGGAGAAGTGGCCCTGGTGTGGCTTGTGTGTGGCAGGCCCTGGGGCAGCTGGGCCCGGCTCTGCAAGTGGGACGCACTGCAGCCTGCCGTGTGGACCGGTGCGAGCTCCACACAGCGTGTGGGTGGCACACCCACGTGTGGCTGTCCACGCAGGGTGTGGCTGTTCCACGCAGTGTGCGGGCGGCACACCCACGTGTGGCTGTCCATGCAGGGTGTGGCTGTTCCACGCAGTGTGCGGGTGGCACACCCCACGTGTGGCTGTCCACGCAGGGTGTGGCTGTCCCACGCAGCCTGTGGGCGGCACACCCCACGTGTGGCTGTCCCACACTTAGCACTCATGTAGCACCTGCCGTGCAGGCCCTGACTCCCAGGCTGCAGACGAGACCCCCAGGCATGGGCCCCGTGTTCTCTCCAGACCACGCCAAGCTGTCCAGGTTGGAGGGACAGAGGGACAGCCTCAGTCCTTCTCACGCGGGTAGCTCCGATTCTGAGGTTAGGGCGTGCTCCCTGCTCTGGGCTGGCACTGAGCGGCTGGGATGGGGGAACAGGGAGCCGGGCCGGGGCCTGAGCCACAGCGCCCTGGTGCCCATAGGTCGGGGTCTCCTGGGAACACGCTGGCTCGACAGCGCGGCACTGGCCATGCGTCTGCATCGCATAGGAATCGGACAGAAGCGGGGTTCTTCTCGAGGAGGGCAGGGCGCCCCGAAGCTGCACTCCAGCGGGGGGGCCCGTCTCCCCAACCTCTCGCCTGCACGTGCAGGCGGCAGAGGCGGGACAGGATGTGGGGGCGCTCGGAGCGGGTGGGGGCCCTGTCCACGTGGCGCTGCCATGCAGAGAGGCGCGCATGCGCGGGCCGCTCCCGTGGTTCCCTCTGCGGCTGCAGCCAGCGCCGCGGTCTGCCCTCGCGTTTGAAGAATGAAACTGAGAAGGAATTTCTCGTTAGAAGCTGGTCCCGTGGGTGCCTCTGGAGACGGACTTTGAGAACCGGGCGCTTGGCAGTGGCGGCTAGGGGCCGGGGCCCTCCCGGGGCCTCTGCCGCCTCCGCCGCCCTGGCGGGCTCGGCTCCGAGATGCGCTGTCCAGTTGTCCAGTTTGGCTGAAGTTTGTTCCTCCCGCTCGGGCTGCCCCTCCCGTGTCCGTGCGCCCCAGCCGGACGAAGGCTCAGAGAGGAACATGCCCTGGGCCCGAGCCTGACCGGAAGTAGCCTTGGGGAGTGTCCACCCAGCGCCTCCAGGGGAGGGGGCGAGGGCCCTCCTCTCCGTCCGCTTCCTCTGAGCCGGAACAGGCAGTGGCCGGAGGCGGCCCGGGCGTGTGGACTCCGTGCAGGTTCCCCGGTTCCCGGGCAGTGGGGGCGTCTTCACTGCGAGGATCCGGGCACCGCACCCACCCTCCTGGGCGTGGAGCCCCCATGCAGCTGTTTCTTGCGTGCGATTCGGTCGGCAGAGAACTCCTGGGGTCAGTCTTGGCTCCTTCGAGGCTCATCTCGCGATTTCTACGAAGCGCGTTTTGGCGAAAGACCCCGCTGGCGCCTGGGGGGCCTCTCCCGGCAGGACCTGGGGCCGGCTGTCGGCTTCGCTTTCCGGTTTCGCGTTTCTTTTGGAAGTTGATTTGCATGTTAAGATATTAAATCTTTCTCTTCTGTGTCTTCCTCTAATGTGTGTGCAGTGTTTTTCTGTAGTAGCCACGTCGGCTTAAATACGGGTAGGACAGCAGAGGGGCGGCCTCGCGAGCGCAGCTGTTTGCCCCAAAGGTCCCTCGTGCTTTTTGTTTTTTTTAAGATTTATTTATTTATTTGAAAGGCAGAGTTACAGAGAGGCAGAGAGAAAGAGAGAGGTCTTCCATCCGCTGGTTCACTCCCCAATTGGCTGCAATGGCCGAGCTGTGCCGATCTGAAGCCAGGAGCTTCCTCCAGGTCTCCCACTCGGGTGTAGGGGCCCAAGGACTTGCGCCACCTTCCACTGCCTTCCCAGGCCATAGCAGAGAGCGGATCAGAAGTACAGCAGCCAGGACTCGAACCGGCGCCCCTATGGGATGCTGGCACTGCAGGCGGTGGCTTTACCCACCACGCCACAGCGCCACTTCCTTCTCACGTGTTTCTTGGCACCATCATACAAGCCAGCTTTCTGAGGTGGCCCAGGCCCGGGGGTTGACGGAGACCACACTGTGCTCTCGGCCGTCAGCCGCAAGAGGTCCGGGTGGGGCCGTCACAGGAGCTGCTTGGGCTCCCGTGTGAGGCAGACGCCCGTTCATTCAGTTCGGTCGGTCAGATCACCCAGGGTTTTCCTGGAGAACCCCGACAAAATGCCTGAATGGAGGCCGGGAGTGCCGAGTGCCAGCTCTGGGCAAGCTCTGGCGAGCTTAGCTGGTCTAGGAAGCTGAGCTGTCGGAAAAGGCGGGAGTCCACGTGCGGGCGCCGAGCGCGGCCCCGTGTCCTGCCTGGCCCTTGCAGCGCCTGCTCTCCGACGTCCCCGTGGGTGCAAGCAGCCTCCGGTCAGCTTTCACACAGCAGTCGGCCAGCACACGTTCACCACGGTGACGGCCTGGGCCGTGGACGCTGTAGAAGTCACCAGAAAGACTGACACGCACACGCACGTGCGAACACCGCCTCTGGGAAGTGGGCACTGCCCCACAAACACCAGGCCGGGATTCTGCCGCGCACCCGGGGCAGCTGGCGCCGGAGGGTGCTGAGCGGGGAGGCGGGGTGGCAGGCAGCCCTGGCTGTCCAGAGTGGAAGGACACAGTAGGTCACCGTTAGCTTGGAGGCTGCCGGCCACGTCCTGCGTCCCCTCCCTGGCGCCCCACCATGCCATGCCCAAGCTTGGCCGTGCTGCCTGGGGCTCTCCTGGGAGGAGACAGGCTCTGTTAGAGTGTGATCCGGGCAACCCCAGCGCTCAGCGTGTGCACGCGTGTAGGCCGGGAAGCGTCCCTGAGGAAGGGGATGGTGTGTGAGCCGGCGGGGCCACCAGGGACTCCGCTCTCAGCTGTGCGGATGAGGGGCCTCACCTTGCAATTTGACCAGTAAAACAAGTAGGCTGCTCGGTCTGAAACAGCCATGGTTTCCAGGGAAACTCAAAACGATTTTGCTTGGAAGATTTTAGCCAACCCTGGAGCCAGCTCAGCTCAACTAACACGGGGGCGCGGCCGCCTTGGTGCAGCCCCGAGACTGCCGAGCTGTCCCGCTGTGGAGCCAGGGTCACCACGCGCCTGCCGGCGGCTGCGGCTGAGCTGAGACCGGCAGCCCAGGTGGCCTCCAAGGGGGACCTGCGTGGCGCCGACAGCCACTGAAACGCGTTGCCAATGCAGTGTGTGCTGTCCGAAAGGAGCCGCTGGGCCACACCCACGGCTGTCGGGGGAGCCGGGGCCTGCATCCTGCCAAGTCCAGGGCTGACGTCTCGGTCCGGCTCACGAAAAACGGAACCAGATGTGGCACTGGCGTGCGAAGTGCAGGGAAAACGCGTGCTAGGAAAAACCGCGGCCTCTGCATTTTTTTGCACCAGAATAAAACCTCTTCAATTTTCCGTTAATTTTTTACGTCCCCTCATGGTGTAGGTGTGGCTGTTCCCACTGGATGTCGCTGGGTAACTCACACCCAAACGCTTGACAATCCGACCCACATCGTCCCATCCAACCTGGCAGTGCTCTGGTGGGGATTTCCCGTCACCTGTGAAGACCCGAGCCTACCCCCCCCCCCCCGCCCAGCTCAGCGCACACACGAGCGCCCAGCGCGGCCTCACAGGCTCCGCCTATTCACACCGCGTGGATCGGCACACTTCCTCCCCGGGGCGTTCGGAGCCCCAACAAACTGAGATGCCGCCCCCACGGTTCAAGTACGTCAGCTTCAGAAAACTTTCCTATCTAAAATAAGCAGACACTTTATCCATCGGACCGCTAGGAGTTACACTCGTGGCTGCGTCACGTGGCCAGGCCCGCCCCCGCCGTGGTGGCTCCGGGTGGGCTCCTGGCTCACCCGGTCCTGCAGGACGACCCGCCGCTGCGCCAAGTTCCCGCGTCCACCAAGACTCGGGGCTGGGATGAGCACTGAGTCTGCAAAGCCCAAGGGCGTCGCGTTCCCGCCCGGACGCCTCTGAAATGAGGGACCACGGACAGATGCCAAGGCAGGTGCACGCACACACACACACACTGCACACACACACGGGCAGGCACACTGCGCACACGCATGCACACACACTGAACACACGCATACACACTGTGCAGGTACACACACATGGGCACACACTGCGCACATGCATACACACACTGCACGCACACACGCATACACACTGTGCACACACACACACACCGTGCACACACACTGTACACACATACACACTTCACGTTTAAAACCAGACTGAAAAGATTCTCATTTTGAACTTGAATAAAAGGAGAAACATCAGGGCTGTTTTTCCCTCTCTACCCCAGAATGGGTAGAACTTTTTGGCATGCAGCGTATAAAAAATGATTTAGAACTGAAACTCCGGAAGCGAATCAGCCCGTGGACCGCGGATCGCGGGCCTGCGCCTCGTTGCAGCTTGGTTCCCGGGGACGGCACGGGGCACCATGGCCTGCGCACTGGGCATGCGCAGAGGGATGAGCCGGCCGCATCCGTCCACGAGGGCCATGGGGCCACTCGGCATCAGTCAAGCTGCGACTTGATTTAAAGTTAAAACAGGCCTCGCTTCAGGCCACACATGACACCATTTACAGTTTTCTAAACGTGAAGTTCCAGCTCACGTGGGACGTGTCACGATCTAACTCCTAACGCTGTTAGAAAGAAACCGGACTAAGATGACCACTAAGATGACCCTGCTCAGTCAGCCGCGACCACACGGGGACAACAGCGGCCAGGGCCTCCCCAAGCAACACGGCTGTCGGACTCGACCACACCCACGCCGTGGCTCTCCCACGCTAACAACGGAAGCGGAAACCACGTTCCTAAAGCCTGAGAGTGGCTGTAAGAACGTCACGTTTGAGCTACGGCACCCACGTCCCTTCTCCTTGTGACTGTCACCGTGGCAGCGACAGTCTTAGCAGCCAACTGCTGGAACGTCAGACGCCATGCGCCACACCCCTCACCGATACCACCTGTCCCCACCTGCTCCTGCAGGCGCCCTCAGTTCCCACGCTGCGGGGGCCTGGCTGCCGCCTGGCACGGGGAGGGGTTCTTTACGCTGCTCCCCTTACCTAAGATTCGGTTTCACCCACTGTGAACAAGGCAGGGCCACTGTGGTTTTCAAACACTCAGCACCATCAGTCCTGAAGGCCAGCCACCCTGCCACTTTGCCCCGGGGCGCACGATGGCGCACGCGCCCTGAGTCGGGCCACGTTCTCACTGGAATCTCGACTAGGACAGAGCACAAGAACCCACGGCCAGTCAACAGCATTCGGCTGTAAAACCACTCCTCCTCCATACCAGAGACCGCGTCTCACAATCACCGCACCCGTGGCCACGCCAGGCCACGCCATGCACTGGGGCCCACGGTGTAAGGTGGTTCCAGGACCCCGCCTCCCGCAGAGCCAGGTGGACAATTAAGCACGAAGTGGCCTGCTGTGTGTGCAGCGTGCTCCGGGACGCGCCGGCCGGTGACAGCCGGCTCTGGACAGGGCCCGGTTCCCGATGGACACGGTGGTGTCTCAGGGAACGAAAGGGACGCTTGAGACAAGTGTCTACCAGGCCACCCACAGCTGAGGGCGGGACACGCACAGCCCGCGGCCCCTCCGCCCCGCCCCCAGGGCAGCCACCCTGCCGGCCCCGGAGCTGCCCCAGCCCTGCGGCCACCGCCTGTCCGCGTCCCCGCCGATGTCCCCACTTCTTCTCCGGGGCTTACTGTCCAGTCCAGAAAGCAGCAAGCCACCAAAGCTGTGCTCTTAAAACCTTTCCTGGCAACCCCCTCCACCCTCGTGGTCTGCAGGATGAAGTCCAGCACCTCGCAAAGTGAAACCACACAGCCACCGTCCACAGCCACTCCGTCCGCACCAGAAGAACGAGCGGTTCCCGAGGCCCACGGCCAGCGCCTGCGAACCAACCCTAGGTGGTGACGCTCCTGCTGGAGGCGGGCGTGGGCACCCGTGTTCTGGCTGAACGACAGCTGACCAGGCACAGGGCCCGCCCGCGCACGGCACGGCACGGCTCCCTCGGGAAGCGGCCGGCCCTGCCGAGCGCCCACCGGGAAAAGCTCTCGGGAGCGCATCGATACCCTGATTCCAGTCCGTAAGAAATCACTTATGGATAGTTTAATAACAGACGAACATTTAAAAATCTTCCCCAAAACGTCACTCAAGCGGGCTTTACGCAGTGGTTCTCGGGGGGAGAACACGGTTTGACACTGAACGTTCCAAGGTTTATTGGCTTATCAATCCTCTCACGCGGTCTGAAGTGATGGCTACTGTGAGGAGCGGAGCAGGCGGCGCCGGGGGCGGGGCGGCCGGGCTCAGGCGTCCTTCTTCTCCAGCAGAAGCCGGTGCAGTTCGTCGGCGTCCTCGCTCGTCTTCACCCGGATCAGCATGGTGGCCGGCGTGCTGGCGCTCTTCGCGTCCAGGGGCGGGTTGGGGATGCAGACGATCAGCACGTTGTTTTTCCCGGTCCGGCTGCAGGGCATGTTGGGTGGAACCAGCACATTCAGCAGTATGTTGCCTGCAGAGACGACAACGCGCATCAAAACGGCACCGGCACAGCGGGAGCAGGTCCTCAGCGGGCCACCCGGCTCCTGCTGCCACCTCGGCACACCTAGGCGCGGAGCCTCCGGAGTCTCCACACCAGGCCCTGGGCTTCCAGGGCACAGATGGCGGCTGCGGCGGCCAGAGCCCTGGGGGAGCGGCCTCCTGCGACCCCTCCCTCACTGCGCGCCTGCGGCAGAGCACAGGGTCGCGGGCCGGCACCTCCGTCCTGGGGCCCAGCACGGCTCACAAGGCCGCAGGGAGATCACCGGTGCCACTGCCCACAGGCCAAGCGCACGGGAGCTAAGAATGCGCCCTCCCCCGGGTGTCTTCGGGCACACGGAGGAGTCCGCTACCCTGCTGACTTCACCTCCAGCCTGCGGCGCCGCCCCCAGCACTTCCTCTCTGGGGACGGTTTCCAGGGTCACACGCCGGGCAGGGAGGGGTGGACAGCCATGTGCCAGTGACCACTAGCCATTTAAAAAGGACTCCCGTCAATGGTTCACTCCTCTTGGTGTGCATTAAACCCCTGACCTACTCTGCCAGCTCACGTTTAACAAAAGGGGACTGAGAGTTGTCCTGGAGACAGCAAGGATGACCTTGGCCTCGACGACCGCTCAACACAGCCGTGAGTGCACCGGGCCCGTCCTCGCACACCCACCTAGGTTGGTGTCGGCCCGCACCAGCAGCTGTGTCTTCTGATTGGCTGTGGGCTTCAGATGCAGCGTGCCCACACCCTTCTCCTTAAACTCATTGTCTTTCTTGTAAAATAGTTTACACCTGTGGAGAAAGAGCGTCGGCGTGAGGAGCCACTCAGCACCAAAGCACGTCACACGGTCCTGCAGCGGCCACCAGGCGCTCCTGGGGACACGCTGGAACGTTCCAGAATGACTGGCTCTGGGACGAAGCGAGAAGCCCTGGCCAGGTGTTGCACAGCCTCTCCCATCCTCTCAGAGCGGAGCCCACAAAGCTCCCGCAAGGACGTCTTAAAACCATCCTCCCTCCAGCACGCCCGGGCACAGCCAGACGCGGCACGCCTCCCCGCTGCTGCTCTGGCCCTGGTGAGCTGGAACAGGCGCTCTGTGCGCCTCTCCCCCAGCCCACTGTCGTCCCTCCGTGGAACTTCCTAATTCCCAAGGCACCTTCAGTGCTGATGTCCCCTCATGCTGACAGGGTCCCGTGAGCCAGAGCCGTCAAGTGGCTCCGAGCACCCACAGCATTTCCTTGGGGTGTAATTCACAAAAACACCAGATGCTCCTCTGATTGATGCTAATTAGAAAAAATCAGTCACTCCTTCATGTCATCTCTATCATCAAACTTTTTTTTTTTTTTGACAGAGAGACAGAAAGGTCTTCCTTCCGTTGCTTCACTCCCCAGATGGCTGGGAGCTGTGCTGATCTGGAGCCAGGAGCTCCTTCTGGGTCTCCCATGTGGGTGCAGGGCCCAAGGACTTGGGCCACCCTCTAGTGCTTTCCCAGGCCACAAGCAGAGAGCTGGATCAGAAGTGGAGCAGCCGGGACTAGAACTGGCGCCCGTATGGATGCTGACAATGCCAAGCAGCGACTTCACCTGCTATGCCAGAACGTCGGCCCCGATACATTAAAACAACAACAGTGGTCTGGGCTAATTTCCTCTGTGGAGATGAGGTCATTCAACTTTCTTTCAGGGATTCTTCTGAGACCAGCAGCTCTCCACAGCGCAGCAGAGGATGGCTCAAGTGCTTGGGCCCCTGCTCCCATGTGGGAGACCCGGATGGGGCTCTCAGCTCCTGGCTTCAGCCTGGCCCAGTCCCTGCCGCTGCAGCCATTGGGGAGTGACCCAGCAGGCTTAAGAATCCTGTCTCTCTCTCTCTCTAACTCTGCCTTTCAAAAGTGAAAAATAAGTCTTATAAAACCAAATCTTGAAACCGCTAACAGGTGATTTTCTTTGTGGGGGTAGTGGGGGGAGGAGGACAGGATGAGATAAAATGAGGCTGAGGGGAAGACCACACCCCCTCGAGCAGGAAACGGCCAGCTGTGCCCAGCACCTTTCTGACCTGGTGTGTGTCAATGACAGGCCAGGAACTGCCGCACAGCGGGCCCCGGGACAGAGGGGACCCCGCTACCCATGCTTTGGTCCAGTGGCCCGCCCGTCTCTGCAAACATCCCCCGGAGCTCCTGGTGGTCTGGTTGTCACTTACTTTTTGGAGTAAAAGGCATCTTCCTCCTTTACTTCAGTAACTACTACTTTGGGCGGCTCATCATTCTCTTCTTCATCTCCTTTTTTGAAAACAATGCAAGCTCGGTGAGAGTCACAGCAACAACTTGAGAAAGTGACAGACCCTTGTCACCCACCACCCCAACCTCAGTCTGGAACATTCCAGCCTGAAGATGCACACCCGATTTGGGCTGCAGGCACTGGACATTATTTTGTGAAAAATAAAAATGACTTAACATGGAAACATCTTTGTGCATTCTAAAATAACTTTCAATTTGTAGAGATACTAGAACAGGCACCAGTACTGTGGTGCAGCGGGTAGTTACTGCCTGTGACGCTGCCATCCCATACAGGCATGGTTTGAATCCCAGGTGCCCCACTTCTATGTACCCTTTTTTTTTTTTTTGACAGGCAGAGTGGACAGTGAGAGAGAGAGAAAGGTCTTCCTTCCGTTGGTTCACCAGCCTGGCCCAGCCCTGGCTGTTGCAGTCACCTGGAGGCTGACCCAGCAGATGGAAGATCCTTCTCTAACCCTGGTGAGAGGAAGGAGAGAGACAGAGGGAAGAAACAACGCTCATGCTTCTGACGCTGATGGAAGAACTCGATGCTCAATTATGTGCGTTCCAGTTACCCACTGGAGAAGTAACTGAGTCTCCGATGGCCTGCCAACGCCTCCAAACGCTCCCATGGCTGTATCTCATCATGCTGAGGAATGGCCACTATCAGCAACGGCCAAAGACGGGGCACGTTTCCCACAGGGCAAACTGGCAAGAGCACCGTTCCAGAGCCAAGTGCGAGCAGCTTCAGCTTTGTGTGGACGGACAAGGCCCACTGCTCTGGCCCCACGCTGCCGGCCCTGACCAAGCTGGCAGCACCTTCACTCACCGCAGGCAGCCACGGGGGCGCTACGATATCAAAATAAACACAAACAGGAAGCATCCTCTTGAAGAGAAAGCCAAGTGCACCCTGGGATTCAGATTCTGAGGTGCTGCTCCAGGGCCGGAGCTCTCAGCTCCCCAGGCCTCTGGAGTGAGTGCTCCAGGCCGGCCCCAGCATGGGTGTGACAACCGAGAGGTGAGAGGTGTGTGTGTGTGTGTCCCTGACTGGCAGAGGACCAAAGTCCACTTCCATCTGTGTAGCAGGGCAGAGAGCAAACACAGGAGAGACCCTTACTCTGTCCTTGCCGTGAGGACCCTTGGCTGAGGACACACTTGCAACTTTTCCTTAAGGCTTATTTACTTATTTCAAAGGCACAATTACAGAGAGAAAGACTGCGCCTCCATCCACTGGTTCACTCTCCAAATGGCCACAAAAGCCACGGCTGGGCCAGGCTGAGGCTAGAGCACAGGTTCAGCAGGGTCTCCGACATGGGTGCAGAGACCCGAGCACCTACCCTCCACTGCTCTGCCAGGAGCATTAGCAGGGAGCTGGACTGGAAGTGGAGCAGCCGGGACTCAAACCAGTGCCCACGTGGGATGCTGGGGTAACAGATGGAGGCCACAGCGCCAGCCCTAAGTCAGTAACTCGAGAGGTTTACTTTCAGTTTCTTAGATGTGGGGTGTCTCCCCAGACATTTGTCCACACGACCAAGCCATGGTATTATGACCTAGCCCAACTTTTTCAGAGTTAAGAACACAGGGAGTGGAGGCGCTGGGACTAAGGTCCAGCCTTCTGCCTGGCGTGGAGCTCAGACGCTACAGAGTGGACAGTCACACAGACACCATCAAGACCCGTCTGGGAAGGTGGGCTCCGTTCAGACCTGTAGGAGACACACTCCTCGTCTGCTCTCTATGGCATGGAAAAGCCTATCTTGTTAATTTACAGTGGAGAGCTATTCTGCCATGTGACTCTGTCCACAAGCACATCTCCTGAACACAAATCAATGCAATGGGTATCTGATGCTTTTCCATAAAATACAATTTTCAAAAACCGTTAATTCACTTTATAATAATCAAACCTACAGGGCTGGCACTGTGGTGTACTGGGTAAAGCTGCCGCCTGCAATGCCAGCATCCCATTGGGTGCCAGTTCAAGTCCCGGCTGCTCCACTTCTGATCCAGCTCTCTGCTATGGCCTGGGAAAGCAGTGGAAGATGGCCCAAGTGCTTGGGCCCCTGCACCCACGTGGGAGACCCGGAAGGAGCTCCTGGCTGGCTCCTGGCTTCGGATCAGCGCAGCTCCGGCCTTCGTAGCCAACTGGGGAGTGAACCAGCGGACGGAAGAGCTCTCTCTCTCTCTGCCTCTCCTTTCTCTGTGTAACTCTTTCAAATAAATAAATAAATAAATCTTAAAAAAAAAAAGCTACATGTCTGGTACTTTTCAAAGTCATTTTTAAGCCTTCTGACGTTACAAAACAGGGCTTCCTCCACTGTATGAATAAGGGAACGGAGGCTGAGCACACGGAGCTCAGTCACCACAGGGGCCAGACAACCCAGTCAAGTCTGGGCTTTTCCTGCAGAACAGAGAGACTCAGACATAAACCTCGGGTGACACTCTGTGTTTACCTTTGCTTTCATTACTGCCACCTTCTGCTTGGCTCTCTAACGTTTTAGTGGAAAATGGTGAAGCAGCTGGTTTACTCTGGGTACCATCTTTGCTGAACAAACTGGAGTTTCCAGGGGAAAATGAAAATCCAGTCAGGGGACCAGAGCTCAAGGAGCCCAAAACAGAGCTATCAACTTTCTTGCCAAAACTAAACGAGGCACTTGTCGCTGCCAGTGGCGTCTCCACCTTCTTCTCAGACGTGACCTCCGTCTTCTTGTCAGACGAATCCTCAATTTTGTTGCCAGGAAACAAAAATGTGGATTCTTGCCCTGCGTTTGTTGAATCAAACAGGGAAGGAGGCTGCGTTTCAGCCGACATTCTGTTCATTTCATTTTCGGAATTACTACCGCCACGCTGCTGTTCAATATTTGCTAAGTATTTCTCGTAGTCTTTGAAGATGGGGCTCAGGTCACAGAGCGGGTTTGTGTTCACGTGCTTCACTATCCAATCCCGAACGGAGCAGTTGAGGGCCGCCAGCTGCTTGTGGTACGCGCTCGCCGCGAGGCCGGAGGGCAGCTGCGGGCTGTCGCCATTCGTTTTGGGATTTGCGATCTTCTTATCCAGCAAGGCAGTAGGGCCATTTGCAGTCACAGAACCTACGGAAATTAAAGTTTGAAGAATTTATTTTGAAGGGATTTAATTAAACCATCTGGACTTTATGCTATGCTGTCTTCCTACTTTCTATTTTTGTCAATTTTTGCAATAATGCAAGAAATACATGTTCAAAAAGCAGCAGTATGAACTGATGGTCATAAAGCAAACCACTTTACGGCAGCACGGCATCCACTGCACGGCAGAATGATGCCTCTTGGTTGTAACGATCTTCTCCTCCAACAAGCAGACCTAGTCTCAAGCCACTGTTAGAACAGCATAAAATACAAGCTCTAAAAGTTGTTGAGACACACTAAGGCAGCATTTATACATTAATTATATATTAACATATTAACAGAAAATGCTGTTTCAAAATCACACTAAACATGCTGCTTAAATCTAACGGTACACTGCTCGGAATACAACTAACCTGAATTCGGCCAGTCAGGATCCCTGTAACATTTAACCTACGACGCGCATTCTCTGCTGCTAACCCCGAGAGACCTCAACTAACTTCCTCACAACAGGATGGGGCGGAGGGCGTCGGCACGGCCGCCACGCGCCCCGGGGACTCCTGCATCTCGTACCGCAGTGCCTGGTTGAGCCCCAGCTCTCCACCTGCTGACCCAGCTTCCTGGAGGCAGAGGCTGACGGCCCGAGTTCTTCGGTCACCTACCACCCATGCAGGAGACTGGCTTTGGCCTGGCCCATCTCCAGCTGTCGCAAGCATTTGGGGAATGAACCAGCTGATGGAAGATCTCTTTCAAGTTAATAAATAAATCTTAGAAAAAAAAAATTTTTTTTTGACAGGCAGAGTGGACAGTGAGAAAGAGAGACAGAGAGAAAGGTCTTCCTTTTGCCGCTGGTTCACCTCCAATGGCCGCCACAGCTGGCGCGCTGCGGCCGGCGCACCGCGCTGATCCGAAGGCAGGAGCCAGGTGCTTCTCCTGGTCTCCCGTGGGGTGCAGGGCCCAAGCACTTGGGCCATCCTCCACTGCCCTCCCGGGCCACAGCAGAGAGCTGGCCTGGAAGAGGGGCAACCGGGACAGAATCCGGCGCCCCGACCGGGACTAGAACCCGGTGTGCCGGTGCCGCAGGTGGAGGATTAGCCTAGTGAGCCACAGCGCCGGCCTTAGAAAAATTTTAAACAGGGCCGGCATCCCGAATCAGAACGCAGACTTGAGTTCTGTTGCTCTGCTTCTGACCCACACCCTGTTAATGCACCTGGGAAAGCAGCAGAAGGCCCCAGTGCGGGGGTCCCTGCCATCCACGTGGGAGACCTGGTTCCAGCCTGGTCCAGCCCTTTGGGAGTGAAGCAGAGGACAGAAGACTCTCGCTGACTCCCCCTCTTACTCTGCGTTCCAAACAAATTAAACCAATCTTTGAAATAAAAGCCTGTGTTCTAGCCACATAACTCTAAGTAGCCAATATCCCCTGAGCTGTATCCCTTTCATTATTACTGTTTTTGCTTAGTCTCAGGACCAGAGTAAGTCCAAGAAAAAAACGTGCATGCAAAGTTGTTTCCAGAGACCAAATTTACAGACACGGCTGGGACAGGGCTGTCTACTTACCAAAGATCGCCTTGGGCTCTGCTGTCTTGGTGCCGGTGAGCGGAGGGGCACTTGTGCTGTTTCCATTGGACAGTCCTTCTAGGGGCTTCCCTCCAGGGCCTCCACCAAAGCCAGAAAACCCTCCTCCTCCAGAAGGCACCACCAAGCCTTTAAATCCTTTAAAGGCCCCTCCAGCATCTGGCTGGAATGGGAAGGGGAGCACACGTCAGCAAGTCTACACCATCACCCAATGAGTGACACTATTCCCCTGGCTAAACAGGATTTAGACTGAGTATGTGTCCTGCATTAGAAGGGTACCTTCTGGCACAAGCAGCCACAAGAAATGAGACACAAAGATTTTATTTTTATTTCTGTAACAGCTAGGGAAAACACTCAGAATTTATGGATACAGGCACTCTTAAAAACCCATTACCTGTGCATATCTAAGACATAGGAGATAAGAGACTAACATAAAGAGTCAAGCACACACCACCCAGATCAGTAACTGAGAACACTCGACACAGCTCAGCCCCTAATGGGAAACCTCTCATGGGCGCAGCAGACTGCCTAATGAGATCCGATACTCCACCATCCACGTTGCCTTCCAGTGGGACCACACACGCCACCATCCACCCCACCATCCGCCTCCCAGTGAGACCACACACCCCACCACCCACCCCACCATCGCCTCCCAGTGAGACCACACACCCCACCACCCACCCCACCATCCGCCTCCCAGTGAGACCACGCACGCCACCATCTATCCCACCATCTGCCTCCCAGTGAGACCACACACCCCACCATCCGCCTCCCAGTGAGACCACACACCCCACCATCAGCCTCCCAGTGAGACCACGCACGCCACCACCCACCCCACCATCCGCCTCCCAGTGAGACCACACACCCCACCACCCACCCCACCATGCGCCTCCCAGTGAGACCGCACACCCCACCATCCGCCTCCCAGTGAGACCACACACCCCACCATCCGCCTCCCAGTGAGACCGCACACCCCACCACCCACCCCACCATCCGCCTCCCATCCGCCTCCCAGTGAGACCGCACACCCCACCACCCACCCCACCATCCGCCTCCCAGTGAGACCACACACCCCACCACCCACCCCACCATCGCCTCCCAGTGAGACCGCACACCCCACCACCCACCCCACCATCGCCTCCCAGTGAGACCACACACCCCGCCATCCATCCTCCGTGTCTCCCGATGACACTGCACACTCTGCCTTCCACCGCATCTCCTAAGAATGTCAGTGGCTTTCAGTCCACGCCAACTCCACCACGCTCAAATCTCAGATCTAATTCCTGCTAACTGGGCGAGCCAGGGAAACGTCACTCTCCCTCTTGCTGGTCTTTCTGGTAGGTTTCCTACTGCACTAGGCTTGCTCACACCTCCAACCCGACATGTTCTGGGAACGTCTGTGGTTACGCATGAAGTTCGAGCTGCTGCCGCTCAGGACTCTCTGGAGCAGGCTCCTCAGGTTACAGTGCTCATGGACGCACAATTCTTGTAAAATCTTTTCTTCATTCAAAGTAGTACTTACACCACAGAAGATACTCTGCCTCAAGCCAAACACCTGAGAGAGTTCACAAATCCCAAGTTCCCACACAAATGAACTACAACCATGACCTCACCAAAATTCAGTTAAACTGGAACCTCTTCCTAGAGCCAGTCTAAATATTATTAAGTGCCTTTCCAAACACACACAACTTTCAGTGACATCTACAGAATTTCAGACGTTCATTCAAAATTGAAACTCTTGGGGCCGGTGTCTTGGTGCGGAGGGTAAAGTTGCCACCTGCAACACCAGCACCCTGTATGGGCGCCATTCAAGTCCCAGATGCTTCACTCCCCAAACAGCACCCTGCTAATGCCCAGAGTCTAGACCTGCCACCCTGGGGGAGACCTGGAAGAAGCTCTTGGCTTAGGCATGGTCCAGCACCGGCCACTGAGCCATCTGGGAGTGAACCAGTGGATGGAAGATCTCTGAATTTCAAACAAATCTTTTAAAAAACAAATCTATACACTATTGATTTCTATCATTTTTAAAAAGGTTTGTTTATTTATTTGAAAGTCATAGTTACACAGAGAGAGGAGAGGTAGAGAGAGAGGTCTTCCATCTGGCTCACTCCCCAACTGGCTGCAACGGCCAGAGCTGTGCCGATCCAAAGCCAGGAGCCAGGAACTTCTTGCGGGTCTCCCACGCAGGTGCAGGGGCCCAAGCACTTGGGCCATCTTCTACTGCTTTCACAGGCCACAGCAGAGAGCTGGATTGGAAGTGGAGCAGCCGGGACTGGAACCGGCGCCCATATGGGATGCCAGTGCTTCAGGCCAGGGTGTTACCACTGCGCCACGGCGCCGGCCCCTGATTTCTATCATTTTAAAGAACGATTCGTGGACAGGCTGTCAAATGCAGCAGCCGAGGCCGCGCTGTGGCGTAGCAGGTAAAGCTGGCTGCTCCGGCAGCACTGGCGTCCTCTATGGGTGCCAGCTCGAGTCCCGGCTGCTCCACTTTCGATCCAGGTTCCTGTTAAATGTGCCCTGGGAAAGCAGCAGAAGACAACCCAAATACTTAGGCCCCTGCACCCATGTGGGAGACCCGAAGAAGCTCCTGGCTTCAGCCTGGCTCAGCCCTGGCTGTTGCAGCCCTTTAGGGGAGTGAACAAGCAGATGGGAAATTCTCTCTCTCTCTCTCCCTCTAACTTTGCCTTTCAAATAAGTAAAAAAAAATTTTTTTTTTTTTTGACAGGCAGAGTGGACAGTGAGAGAGACAGAGAAAAAGGTCTTCCTTTTCCGTTGGTTCACCCCCCAAGTGGCTGCTACGGCCAGTGCACTGCGCCGATCCGAAGCCAGGAGCCAGGTGCTTCCTCCTGGTCTCCCTTGCGGGTATAGGGCCCAAGCACTTGGGCCATCCTCCACTGCCTTCCCAGGCCACAGCAGAGAGCTGGACTGGAAGAGGAGCAACCAGGACAGAATCCAGCGACCCAACTGGGACTAGAACCCGGGGTGCCAGCGCCACAGGTGGAGGATTAGCCTATTGAGCCGCGGCATCGGCCATAAATAAATCTTAAAAAAAAAAAAATTGCTACTAGTAAACTGGCTCTAGAACCCCAAAATTCACAAGACTTCAGAAGGGGCCGGGACTGTGGCACAGCGGGTTAAAGTTGCGGCCTGCAATGCCAGCATCCCATATGGGTGCCGGTTTGAGTCCCAGCTGCTCCACTTCTGATCCAGCTCTCTGCTATAGCCTGGGAAAGCAGTGGAAGATGGCCCAAGTGCCTGGGCCCCTGCACCCACGTGGGAGACCTGGAAGATAAACTACTGGCTTTGGATAGGCTCAGCTCCAGCTATTGCGGCCATTTGGGGAGTGAACCAGCAGATGGAAGACCTCTCTCTCTCTCTAATTCTATCAAATAAGTAAAAATAAATCTTTAAAAAATAGAAAAATACTGTGAATGTGTATTTATTTCTCTTCATTAATAAACCTCCAGTGCCAAGCAGATCTGGTGAGTGAGCAAACAAATCCACTATTTGGGAAAAGTCACATTTTCCCATTTAAGTAAATGGCATGACGTTTAATTTTTCTTATTCTTTTTTTTTAAATTTATTTATTTTTTTTTACTTGTAAGTCACAGTTATGCAGAGAGAGAGGTCTTCCATCTGCTGGTTCACTCCCCAGATGGCTGCAACAGCCAGAGCTGCGCCGATCCAAAGCCAGAGCCAGGAGCTTCCTCTGGGTCTCCCACGTGGGTGCAGGGGCCCAAGCACTTCGGCCGTCTTCTGTTGCTTTCCCAGGCCACAGCAGGGAGCTGGATGGGAAGTGAAGTAGCTGGGATTCAAACTGGTGCCCATATGGGATGCTGCACTGCAGGTGTAGGCTTAACCCGCTGCGCCACAGTGCCGGCCCCTTAATTTTTCTTACATGTAAGTTCAGATGAGACTTGAGGCTGAAAGTAAGAGCTGACCTCACATGCGGATCTCAACCAGGCACGTGTTTCCCGCCCCCTGCAGTCCAAGGGCTCCTGCCTCCTCCTGCACTCAGCTCAGCTTCAGACTGCGCTCTCTGGGTCTCTCCGTGACCAACTCGCCTCTGGACCTGCCTTCCCTTGGCTCGTCTGCTCATACTCCGGCCACTGCTTCTCCCTCCTGACCACAGGCTCCTCCCCCGCACTGCCAAGGCTTTAACCCCGTTCAGGGACAGCTCCCACAGCTCCACACTGACACTCACCAACCAGTCATCAGAAAAACAAATTAAAAAAAAAAACCCAAAATCGGACTTCGAGACCCCTGCCGTACACTGCTGCGGTGACTCTGGTTAGCAAAGGCACTGGGACTTGAAAACTGTGAGGAGTTCAGTGTGTGAGGTCACACATGTTAACCAGCTCAACTCAGCCACCCCGCAACACACACTACTTTAAAATGTTGCACATCACACATACACACAATTTTTATGTAAAAAATAAAGAATATTTAGCCAAACCAACACCACCATTTTGCTTCAACAAAACATATATTAACACCGAACAATATGGAGACAGCACGGCCCTGTGAGGACCACCAGGATGCGTGAGGTCCTCATCTCTAGGCTGGTCCTGAGAAAAGCACACACGGTCACTTCACTCAGGACAGGCTGGCTCCTTGCCTCAGCAGTGCTGCCCCAGCCGACCGGAGGGCACGGCTCCAGAAAACAATGCAGCCCCACAGCGGGGGTGGCCAAGGCCCACGGAATCACGCGGTCTGGCCCCGCCGAGGCAGCCCCAGGCAGGACTGGAAATCCACTCCAGAGCAGGGGAAGCTTCAGCTGCTGATTCTGTGTGGCCGCAATGACGTTACAAATATCCAACAGGCCCCGGCAGAAGAGAGGTTCCCCACGCGGCTTAAAGCACGCGCTGACGCAGACAGCAGGTGCACGTATTGTATTAGCCATGACATCCCAAACACAGGAAAACGCCTGCAGGGAACCACTTGAGAACTGATTTGCTACATGACTGCGTATCTCTGCCCCAAATCACATAGCAAATATATGCTCCGAGAAATTTAAATGTATTTTTGCAGCATGAATTGTTATCTCATTAACATCGTAAATGCCATCATTTGAGTGATCTGCTAGTTAATTCTAGTGTGAATTTCCTGATTGCCTCCCCATATCCCCACTTACCCACTCTCCTCCCCTTTGCACCTTTTTAAAGCTTTGAAAAAAAATCAAAACTTCATTCTTAATTAAAAAAAAATGAAAGAAACACTGAACCCTGCAGAATGTGTGCTCAACAAAGTTGACTACGAAGCTGCCAGCCAGGATACTCCAGCAGCTTCCCCTGCCTGACAAGACACGAGGCCCCCAGGGCCACATTCACAAGTCGGAGGGGAAGAGATCTTGGTGGGGACTGATGAATGCTGACCACCTGACTACAGCTCATCTGCTTCTGAGCACAGAAAGGAAACACCACTGTACACCGCACAGTACAATCACTGAGGACGACATGCACACATGTGTACACACACACACACACACAGCACCGCGTATGCTGGACACCGGACGCGCCAGGGAGTGCACTCAGATGTTCTGACCCCTACCTGACACCAGGTCTCCTGCCTTTTGTATTGCTCTACCCGTTTGCCTCTTCATATCTGATTCGTCTACACTAATCCCACTTCCTCAAATCATCAGCTGTTTCTGGGTTTCCATGATCCACACAGGAGTTAACTACTCCGAAAGCCCTCGGGGCCGTGACTGCTGCCTGGGTGGCAGTGCCCTGGACTCAGCAACCACGCTAGTGTTAACAGCAGAAGCTGCGAGAAAGCACTCACTTCAAATCCAACATTTCTACGCTTTGCTTTCTTTATGGCTCTGTTCTTCAAGACTTCCTCACTGGCCACTGAGAACGTCCCCACCTGTAAGAAGGCACAAATTAAGCACTGGAAAGATAAAGCCAAGATTAAATGCTGAACCAAAAAGCAAACATCTAATTATTATTTGTTGGGTTTTAAAATATCGTCAACACTGCAAACAAAAACCGTGGGGAAAGCTCACAGGGCAGTGTGGGGCACTGCGGCTACTCGGCTGCTCGGGACGCCTGCGCCATGTCAGAGCTCCAGTTCAAGTCCCAGCTGCTCCACTTCTGATCCAGATTCCTGCGAATGCCCCTGAGAAGGTAGCGGATGATGGCTCAAGGACTTGGGTCCCTGCCACCCGTTTGGGAGACTGGGATGGAGTTCCTGGCTCTGGGCTCTGCCTGGCCATTTCCAGCTGTTGCAGCCCCGAGGAGAGTAAACCAGTGGAGGGAAGATTTGTCTCCCCCTCTCCCTGTGTTATGCTGCCTTTCAAAAAAATAAAAAATAAAAAAAAAAGCTTAACTATATTATCTTGTAGATTCTCATTCTAGTTAGGCAATCATGACTCTTCCAGATTCTGCTAACCCAGCCTTCAACCCCACTCCAGATGAGCACCACACAGAAGGTTGGAAAAGCTACAGGCAGTAAAAACTTAGGTACAAAAATGTTCATGACCAGTCCTACAACTATCTTGTGCATATTCTGAGGCATTAATGAAGTTGACAGAAAACTTGGCTGTAGGAAGCGCAGGCTGTTACCTGACACTGGAAGGTGCTGGAAGACCACCAGCAGTTGACCACGTAAACTGACACTCAGATGCCTGGATCTACTTTCACTACTACACTGTCAAAAATAACGTATGTTTTTAAAAGACTGCATTTACTTATTTGAAAGGCGTACTTACAGAGAAAGAGGGAGAACAGAGAGATCCCCCACCCACTGGTTCACTCCCTAAATGCCCCCAAAAGCCAGGACTAGGTCAGCCCAAAGCTAGGAGCCTGCAACTCCAGCCAGGACTCCCACATGGGACGCAGGGGCCCGAGCATTTGGGCCATTTTCCGCTGCTTTCCCAGGCGCATCAGCAGGGAACGAGATCAGAAGTGAAGCAGTCAGGACTCAAACCAGCGTTCACATGGACTGGTGTAGCAGGTGGCGGCTTAACCCGCTGCACCACAACGGCGGCCCCAAAAATAACTTTTGTATGTAACACACACGTTGTTTTTTAAGAGGGCTGCCCAACTTACCAGTTGTCCCAAAGGCCATAAGGCACTTACACCTCTAAGTGACCTGTGTGGAAAACCACTACTCTTCCACAGTACGCTAAAAGCACTGGGGTCTATGATCAGAAATTAGCTGAAAAGGGTTGGAGTTACTTCAATCCTTCTTTTATCCTGTAAAGTTGAAACAAAATTATGCCCTGTACAAAAATTCTCACCTATTGCTATTCAGGTCATGTTGAACTTAAAGGGACCCCTACACCCACAAATGAACCCATCTCACAATTGCCCCAAGTTAAAAATCACCCTTCCACACACTCATTTCACTAGAACCTGTTCATTCCTGACCATCGCCACATCACAGCAAAGCACTATGGGAGTCTAGCTCTTACTCTCGTATGTGTGCTTCACACTAGGATAAATTCTGTCCCTATTAGCACAGCTACCGGGGAGTCTCTAAGAGCTATAAGGGGAGATCTAAGAGACGGTGACGGTGTGTGGCTTTCCTGGAGTGCTGTGCTGAACTCATGACTGCATCACCGGGACACTGGTCCTTTAGGGGAACCATTTTTTACCTCTTCAGCTTCATCCTCTTGATCCCAATTCCTGTCTGTCAATTCCTTCTCGGCAATTCTTTTGGCCATTTTTTGGATCCTAAATTATAGAAAAGAGAAGTAAAAAGTTCACTTTTCTAAACCAGACAAAACTCCTACAAAATTTTTAAAATGGGCTGATACAAAATGAGAGAAGCATCACCAACGCTGGTGTACAAAGCTTTACCGAGAACCACGCAACACTGTAGGGCTGTGTCACAAACCCAGCAACGGATCAGTCCCAGAGCCGGCGGGAGGTTCCTAGGTCTTGGCACTCTATCTGAACACCACCACACCACCTCTGTCCAGAAGAACTGAAGTGGAACGCTGGCTGATTTTCTAAAATCTGGACTCTAGCCCTCTGTACTACACTTGTACAAAGACAACCAGTAAGTCCTTAACTTATTCCATGCAAACCACACTTTGTCTTGCCATAAGACATATTCTTTTAAAGATGACCCATTAACGTTTATCCTCAATTAAGAATTTTAATAATGCATTGGAAATGCCCCCATAACACACATCCTTTTCTTCAGGGATGATTGATAGAAACAAGTATTTCCCAAGATAGATCACTTAATTGCCCTCAAGTGCACACAGTGAAGACGCCATTTACAAGTATGATGGATGTGTTAGCATTCCGAGAGCTTCAACAGCCATCAGATGACTCTAAAATGTCCACGGGAGGGGCTGCCACTGTGGCGCAGCAGGTCACGCTGCTGCCTGCGGCACCAGCACCGCGCAGGAGCGCCAGCTCAGTCCTGCTGCTCCACTTCCAATCCAGCTCCCGCTACAGCTGTGTCCCTGCAGTCCAGAGGGGAGAGCGGAACGGAGTTCCGGGCTCCTGGCTTTGGCCGGGCTCAGCCCTGGCCGCTGTGGCCACTTGGAGAGTGAGCCAGCAGATGAAGCTTTGATGTTAGGGAACGGGGCAGTATCATCTCCACAGTGGATTCAAGCACCTGTCCACAGAGGTGTCTACATCCATCCCCTAAAGTCTGCAATTTATTGCCTACTCCTAGTACCAAGTTCTTTATTAAACAACCAAAACTACCATTAAAAAAAGTGAGTTTTAAGCATTACGCAGGCTTTTTCACAAACTCACCACAAAATATTCTTTTCCATTTCCTCTGTCCTGGGCCCCTGCCAGGGCTCCTTAAACCGCTGACTCCTTCCTGGCCGGCTCTCCCCACTGGCGTCTGCCCTCGACATCACAACCCACCAAACTTATGTAACACGACCTGTTCTGGAGAGCGAACTCCAGCCGACGACAGTCCAAAGCCCTCCAAAACCTCATCCCGCAGAGCCACCACGGGGCTCTCAGCTCTCAGTGTACCCTGAGAATCTTTGCCATTTCTTTCTGTAATAACTTCTGACGGGCCGGCACTGTGGCATAGCAGGTTAAGCCTCCCCGTGGTGCCGGCATCCCACAGGGGGCACTGGTTGGTGCCCTGGCTGCTCCTCTTCTGATCCAGCTCTCTGCTTATGGCCTGGGAAAGCAGTGGAAGATGGCCCAAGTGCTTGGGGCCCTGCACCAGCGTGGGAGACCTGGAGGAAGCGCCTGGCTTCAGATAGGCCCAGTGCCAGCAGCTGTGGCCACGTAGAGTTAACCAGCAGATGGAAGATCTCTCGTTCTATATCTGTTTGTAACCCTCCCAAATAAATAAATCTTAAAAAAAAAATTTGACTACAGAATAAATGATTCTAAAATATACAGGGGATGTAATAAATTCACTTTCCAGCCAGTACCTAGGAATTCTTTTTAATGCCACCCTAAAAACACATGGTCAAGTTCTGCTGTTCATGCTTGTCACACAAACAAAAACAAATGCAGCAGCAGACATAATTCCTTGCTGACCTGTTCCGAGACACAGGTCTACTTAAGCAAGCACTCTCCTGGCCATTAACCAAGACCTCCACCAGAGGGCAGGAGAGGGAGAAGCTGGAAGGGTCGGTCCGCTTGCTATTACGGTTAGCGCGGCAGGCAGAAGGGGGTCGAGCTGAGAGCGCTGACAAAGCAGAACTTTTCCCTTCCACCTGGGACCCACAACGCGTCCGAACATAATCGCGATCAATGCAGCTGCTTCCATTTTCTAAAATATCTGTCAAGCCGTGGATCGCTGATGCGTTCCAAATGCCCAGACCGGCCCGGCCCACAGCAGGCACTATCTCGGCTGCTCAATCAGTGACCTGGACTAAGACCTATTTCAGAAACACCGCAAGGGGCCGGCAGGTAAAACCGCAGCCTGCAGGGTCGGCACCCCACCTGGGCGCCGGTTTGAGCACCGCTGCTCCTCTTCCCATCCAGCTCCCTGCTCCGGTCTGGGACAGCAGTGGAGGATGGCCCAAGTGCCTGGGCCCCTGCACCCGCGTGGGGGACCCGGAAGAGGCTCCTGACTCCTGGCTCCAGCTTAGCTCCTGCCACTCTCTGTAACTACTTCAGTTAAATAAAAATAAATCTTTGGAAAGAAAAAAAACACTACAAGGTGCTGGCATTCCACTTCTGTTTTCCAGCTGTGAGGCCTGGGCGTGGGAATTTTTGACTCAGGTTCTTTACCTGATCAAATTAACAGGAAGTTATGAGGGATGGATGAGATGAAAGAAAAAGCTTAGTTAGAAAAGCTCCTGGAGCCAGGGAAGAGCTCGTACTTGTAAGGACAAAGCGTGGGGGCCGGCGCCCGGCACAGCAGGTGGAGCCGGCTCCCTGCTAGCACCCGGGTGCTGGGCCCCTGCACCCACGTGGAGACCCGGAAGAAGCTGCTGGCTCAGGACCGCCCAGCTCTGGCCTCTGGGGCCATCTGGGACGTGAACCGGAGATGGAAGATCGCTGTCTCTCCCCCTCTCTTTAACTCTGGCTTCCAAGTAAAAATAATCTTAACCCGAATTTTGCTTCCCAGCCTGACGCTTTTGGGTGACGCAGCCGGAAGAAGCGGGCAATCCCGCAACAGGCCTGCACACCAGGTGCCTTCCGGCCACCGCTATTTTTTGGTTTCAAAAACGTTTGCCCAGGTACGACAGACTCCGAGACATGAAGCCGCGTCCACGGTAACTGGGAAAAGTCCTGTGGTCGCCCCTCCCGGAGCAGCCCTGCCCGTGGAGCCGGGCTCGCGAGGTGCCCGCAGCGTGGCAGGGACAGAGGTGCCGGGCAGAACCCAGACTCGGAACCGCCTCCCCGCGGAAGTCCGGCCCGGGCACGCAGCCCACAGCAGCAAAGGATGGGGCTGGAACACCCGGGACCCCGGCCCTCAGCGGGAGGGGGACGGCGAGGCCCCGCGCCCGAGCCCACCGCGCAGCCCCGGCCCGCTCCGCCTGCCCACCGGCGTCCTCCTACCTCCGCGGGGACCCCGCGCCCCAAGCCCACCGCGCAGCCCCGGCCCGCTCCGCCTGCCCACCGGCGCTCTCCTACCTCCGCGGGGACCCCGCGCCCCAAGCCCACCGCGCAGCCCCGGCCCGCTCCGCCTGCCCACCGGCGCCCTCCTACCTCCGCGGGGGCCGCGGGGATCCCGCGCCCGAGCCCAGCGCGCAGCCCCGGCGCCCCCGAGCCGGCCCTGCGCCCCAAGCCCACCGCGCAGCCGGCGCCCTCCTACCTCCGCCGGGGCCCGCGCCCGAGCCCACCCCGCAGCCCCGCGCCCGAGCCCACCGGCGCCCTCCTGCCTCCGCCGGGGCCCGCTCCGCCTGCCCACCCCGCAGCCGGCCCTGCGCCCCGAGCCCACCCCGCAGCCCCGCGCCCGAGCCCACCCCGCAGCCGGCCCTGCGCCCCGAGCCCACCGCGCAGCCCCGCGCCCGAGCCCACCCCGCAGCCGGCCCTGCGCCCCGAGCCCACCCCGCAGCCGGCCCTGCGCCCCAAGCCCACCCCGCAGCCCCGCGCCCGAGCCCACCCCGCAGCCGGCCCTGCGCCCCGAGCCCACCGCGCAGCCCCGCGCCCCGAGCCCACCGCGCAGCCGGCCCCGCGCCCGAGCCCACCCCGCAGCCGGCCCCGCGCCCGAGCCCACCCCGCAGCCGGCCCTGCGCCCCGAGCCCACCGCGCAGCCCCGCGCCCCGAGCCCACCGGCGCCCTCCTGCCTCCTGCCTCCGCGGGGGCCGCGCCCGGGCGGGCCGCACTCACGCCGGGCGCGGGCGCCGGCCCCGAGAGGCGGCTTCACAAACAGCCCCGGCCGCGTCGCCGCTGCCACCCGCCCCTCCCTGCGCGGCTGCCGCCCGACGCCCCCTCCTCAGGCCGCCCCGCGGCCCCCCGCCCCCGCTCCGCACCTCGCCGGCGGCCGCCGCGGCTCCCGCTGGGTCGTGGGCGCGGCGCGGAGCGGGGCCGAGGTCGCGGTCGCTGCGCCCGGTCGCTTCCGGTGCGCTGGGAGCCTCGGAGGACTTCGTGGTCAGCAAGCCGGCAGCCCAACACCATGTCCCCCGGGGGCCTCGCCTCTCCGCGCTCCGCAGCGAGGGGACAGCCGTCTCTTCAGCCCGAGACCGCCGGGATCACAGCCCCCAACGCGCCCCGGGACGCCATCTTGTAACTCGAATCTACCCCTCAAAACCAATTCGAAAAAAATGAAAGAAACGCCCGCGTCCGGCTAGTGCGCAAGCGCACGGGCGCCTCCGCCAACAGTTCCTCCTTCGCCGGCCTGCGGTTGGGGGGTTGGGGCGCCGCAGGGCGCATGCGCACAGCTCCCTGGAAACCGTCCGCCGGAGGAACGCGCCCGCCCCACGCATGCGCGCCGCCTCAGCCGCGGAACCCGCGCCCGCGTCCTCGGGTCACGTGTCGCCCGGCGCTTGAGGCCGGCTGGCCTGACGCGCTCGCTGCTGAGGTGCCGGCCGGGCTGGCGCTTCCGGAGTGGCTCGAGAGCGCGTGGTCAGTCACTGGCGGGAGCGAGGCCCGTGGAGCTCCCGCGTGGGGCGCGGGGAGCCGGCCGCGGCCACTTCACGGCTGGCGCGGGCCTGGGGCTTCGTACCCCCGCCTGCGGCGCCCTCCGTGGTGGGGCGGCCCGGGGCGTTGGGTCGGGGGGTGAGCTTGCGGGGCGGCGCGGCCGTTGTCGGCCCCCGCCCTCGGCAGGAAGGCCGTCTGGGATCAGGCCCGCGTCAAGATTCGTTTATTTTAAAGAGTGACGCCCAGAGAGGTCTTCGTCCGCCGGGTCACTCCGCAGGTGGCCGCAGCGGCCGGAGCTGAGCCGATCCGGGGCCAGGAGCTTCTTCGGGGTCTCCCCGGGGTGGGGGGGTGGGCAGGGGTCCGAGGACTCGGGCCGTGGCAGAGCACTGGATCGGCAGAGGAGTGCCCATGTGGGATGCCGGCGGGTTAACCCACGGCACTACGCCCCCCCCCCTTTTTTTTTGCTAACAGAATTCACAGGGCAGACCCTTCAGGATGTTGTAGAACCCATCGCAGCCATCCCCCTGTGGTGGCTGAGCGGGGCGGAGCCCAGGGCTCGTCCCAGCCCGGCGTCGCCTTGCGCGCGCTGCGTGAACGACGCTGAGTGCCCGCTGTTGGAAGCTGCACGGGGCGCCGCAGAGCCACGGCTGTGCCCTCGCCTCGCGGTCCTCCACCTGGTCCTCCACCTCAGTGCCTGTCAGCAGCCCTCGTCGCACCTCCGCCCCACGCCCGGCCTCCCTCCTGCTTCTCTACGTCCTCATCCTCGCCCCGTCTGGTAGCCATCCCGCTTTCTTCCTGTATTTCAGCCACTAGGATCCCTAGAACTGCCCTTAGTGGGCAGTAGGCACTCACCTGTCCACCACACGGGTCAACCCTTCTCTTCATTGAGACAAACGTCGCATTCCAAGTTCCTTTCTAACGAGTGACTTGTGGATCTTTGTTTGATTCTGTGTGAGGCTCAATCATCCCAGCTGTTTTTAGTGCTTGCTTACAAATTGGATGATGATTTTCAACTTAAATAGATGTAATCACTAGTCAGCTTGCTTTATGGTCTCTAGGTTGTTACCCATGTAAGAGACAGCTAACAGTAAGGGTGTTTTTTTTTTAAGGTTTATTTATTTGAAAGGCAGAGCTACACACAGAGAGAGAGAGGTCTTCCATCTGCTGGTTCACTCCCCAAATGGCTGCAACGGCTGGAGTTGAGCCGATCTGAAGCCAGGAGCTTCTTCCAGGTCTCCCACGCAGGTGCAAGGGCCCAGGCACTTGGGCCGTCCTCTACTGCTCTTCCAGGCCATGGCAGAGAGCTGGATCGGAAGTGGCACAGCCAGGACTCTAACCGGCACCCATTTGGATGCCAGCACTACAGGCGGTGGCTTTACACCACAGCGATGGCCTTGTACAGTAAGATTTTTATTTTCAGCATTGAAATGTGGCTTGGTTAAAATCACAACTTTTATTAGAGTAATACAATATTTATCTTGTAAGAGTAAGCAAAAAAACCACATTTAGTTATTTGCTCCTAGTAGCATGAAGTAATTGATGCCTTTTCTAATGCAAATGAAAGATCTGTGCATATAATAGCGCTGTAGCTGGTGTGGATGGATTTCCCTGCCTGCTGAATGTCAGCTGGCGGCGACTGGGGGAGGAGGCCGTTTGCAGGCCAGCAGCTACCTCCATGGAACAAGTTCTTTGTTCCTCGTCTCATGAAACAGGTCCTCCAAGGGTATTAGCCAGTTTTTTCCCCTGAAATTGCTTTTCAAGAGTCTCCTTTATTTTGCTCGACTCTTGAGAGCCAGAGGATTTTTCTGGTTGCTAAGCTGAGTGGTTTTCATACTTCCATTCAGATAAATGGCGAGGCGTGTGGCTTTACCCACTTTGCCCAGTTCCACCTGCCTGCATGGGGATGTGATCTTGCTAGAATTCCATGACAGGAGCCGCCAGTTTCAAGTTCAAGTCCTGTGTGTCTCAGATAATCCAGGTGAGCTCAGCGTGACCTAGTAAAGAATGCAGCGTAAGATCCGTGAATTCTGGCAGCCGAGTTCTGGCCTTTGTTTTGGGAAGGCTCGAACCTGGGTTGGGGTCAGTCTTTACTGGGATTTGTCAGGAAACCGCCTCGGCAGGGAGGCCACAGGACCACGCTCTGCCTCTGATGGTGAGGGGTTCAGACAGGCTGGCGCGGGGCTTCAGAGCCCGTGCCCGGGTTTCATTCTTGGCCGAGCCGCCTACCAGCCAGGCAGCCGTGGACAAGATGGGAAATCTTGGGCGCTCAGGCTCCTCGTCTGTGAAGGGAGGTGACAACCACACCCGTGGTTGTGGGGATGAAATGGGGACACGCAAAGCACGCAGGGAGGACTCAGTGCACGCACTGTTAATTACGCCCTGGCCCTGGGACTGTTCCCTCCTAAGCACTTCAGAAGGTTTTCATTATTTTTTTTAAAAGATTTTACTTATTTATTTGAGAGGTAGAGTTATAGACAGTGAGAGAAAGAGACAGAGAGGTCTTCCTTATGCTTCCTTATGAACCATCACTCCCCAGATGGCCGCAACGGCCAGAGCTGTGCCGATCCAAAGCCAGGAGCCAGGAGCTTCTTCCCAGTCTCCCACGTGGGTGCAGGGGCCCAAGCACTTCCACTGCTATCCCAGGCCACAGCAGAGAGCTGGATGGGAAGAGGAGCAGCTCTGACTTGAACCAGCGCCCATATGGGATGCCGGCGCCGCAGGCAGAGGATTAACCTACTGCGCCACAGCGCCGGCCCCTCATTATATTTTAATGCTAATGCTTGTGTACATCTTGTTTTAAAGAATTTTGTTTATTTGGTATAAAGTTTTATCTGTGAAATGCCAACTCTGTTATATCCACTTGTCAGCTAAAATAGAATATTTCAAAAGCAATAGTCACACATGAAATTTATTGAAAATGGAAGGCAAGGCAACTGATCGGAACCAACACTCCTTGTCAGAGTGTGTCCCCCAACAGCGAGTTACACAGTTTTTTATAGTATTCTGTCCACTAGGGCTCACAATTTCACAAACCCTTGGTATGCAGTGAACAATGAAAAAAACCAGAATATGGTTGTAAGATGACAGTTAATGACAAGCCCAGGAACAATAGCAGATCCGAGATATCCTGTAAGATGCCAGCGCAGGGCGCGTTTCTGTCAACTTAGCTCCTGGGACTTTGACCCCCATGTAGTTTCACAAGATCCGCCCTTAGCTGGTAGCGAGCAAAGTGAGTATGTACAGAAGCCAGAGTCTGCAGTTGGCTTTTTTTTTTTTTTTTTGACAGGCAGAGTTAGAGACAGAAAGGTCTTCCTTCCATTGGTTCACTCCCCAAATGGCCGCCACGGCCGGTGCTGCGCCGATCCAAAGGCAGGAGCCAGGTGCTTCCTCCTGGTCTCCCATGCGAGTGCAGGGCCCAAGCACTTGGGCCATCCTCCACTGCACTCCCGGGCCACAGCAGGGAACTGGATGCAGTTGCCTTTTAGCCACACTCCATTTTGATTTTGACTGCAAGTCTTTTTCCCTTTTTTTACTAATAAAAAACTGACCTGCATCACTACCGTCACGACACTGAGTTCCTGTAATTCTGGCCGAAAGCACAGAGCTGTGATGTTTGAGCCAGAGCTTTACTGCGAGTTAGATTTATGATTTCCAGTAGGCTTTTAGAAGTGCTGCCCAGGGACCCGTGCCCCTGCCCCGATTCTAGACTGGGTCCTTTTCAATCTGCTTGCGTCGGCACCTTAACAAAGAATGATTCTGTTGAGAGTTTGGGCAGAGCTTCGCTTGTTTTTCTCCTGGAGATTCCGATCTATTGTGCCGTCAGAAACTCCCACAGCTGGTGTTTTTCATGTTTTAGGCTTCAGAGCAAAAGGATGAAAACTTAAGTCTAAATTTTCTAGCACTACTATTTGTTTTCTCTGGAGGTTTTAGGTTCCATTGGCACTGAAGTAGTAACAGTATGTGTAGAAAATCTGTTAAACATACTGGAGTTACACAATATAGCATTTTTCTGGGAACAAGAGCTGCGGAAATAACAAAACCATTAAGACATCGTCGGAGCCGATGATGGCAAAGGCAGAATCGTGCTGAGTTCAAGGAGGAAGCGATCTCTGCAGGCAGAGGAAGGAAGGAGAGTCAGGTTCTGGAGCCAACGTGACCTCTGATGGAAGGGGCATAGTGTGGAGGGAGGTGGAGCCTACGTGACCTCTGATGGAAGGGGCGTAGTGTGGAGGGAGGTGGAGCGGATGTGACCTCTGATGGAAGGGGTGTAGTGTGGAGGGAGGTGGAGCCTACGTGACCTCTGATGGAAGGGGCATAGTGTGGAGGGAGGTGGAGCCTACGTGACCTCTGATGGAAGGGGTGTAGTGTGGAGGGAGGTGGAGCCTACGTGACCTCTGATGGAAGGGGCGTAGTGTGAAGGGAGGTGGAGCCTACATGACCTCTGATGGAAGGGGCGTAGTGTGGAGGGAGGTGGAGCCTACGTGACCTCTGATGGAAGGGGCATAGTGTGGAGGGAGGTGGAGCCTACGTGACCTCTGATGGAAGGGGCATAGTGTGGAGGGAGGTGGAGCCTACGTGACCTCTGATGGAAGGGGTGTAGTGTGGAGGGAGGTGGAGCCTACGTGACCTCTGATGGAAGGGGTGTGGTGTGGAGGGAGGTGGAGCCTACGTGACCTCTGATGGAAGGGGCGTGGTGTGAAGGGAAGTGGAGCCTACGTGACCTCTGATGGAAGGGGTGTAGTGTGAAGGGAGGTGGAGCCTACGTGACCTCTGATGGAAGGGGTGTAGTGTGGAGGGAGGTGGAGCCTACGTGACCTCTGATGGAAGGGGCGTAGTGTGGAGGGAGGTGGAGCCTACGTGACCTCTGATGGAAGGGGCATAGTGTGGAGGGAGGTGGAGCCTACGTGACCTCTGATGGAAGGGGTGTAGTGTGGAGGGAGGTGGAGCCTACGTGACCTCTGATGGAAGGGGCGTAGTGTGGAGGGAGGTGGAGCCTATGTGACCTCTGATGGAAGGGGCGTAGTGTGGAGGGAGGTGGAGCCTACATGACCTCTGATGGAAGGGGCATAGTGTGGAGGGAGGTGGAGCCTACATGACCTCTGATGGAAGGGGTGTAGTGTGGAGGGAGGTGGAGCCTATGTGACCTCTGATGGAAGGGGCATAGTGTGGAGGGAGGTGGAGCCTACATGACCTCTGATGGAAGGGGCGTGGTGCAGAGGTGTGAGGGAGGTGGAGCTGATGGAAGGGGTGTTGATGGAAGGAAGCATTTTGGGAAGTGAACCAGTGGATGAAAGATCTCTCTCTCTGCCTTTCAAATAAATAAAATTATAAAAAAGATCCGACTTGTTCTCCTTCCATTCCCTTTAAAAAATATTTATTTATTTGAGAGGCCGAGTTAAAGAGAGGAGGAGAAGCAGAGGTCTTCCATCGGTGTTTACTCCCCAAATGGCCGCAACAGCCGGAGCTGGGCTGATCAGGAGCCAGGAGCTTCTTCCAGGTCTCCTGTGTGGGTGCAGGGGCTCAAGCATGTGGACCATCCTCCACTGCTTTCCCAGGCCATTAGAGAGCTGGATCGGAAGAGGAGCAGCCAGGACACAAACTGGCACCCACAAGGCATGCTGGCACTGCAGGTGGAGTCTTACCCTGCTTTGCCGCAGCGCCAGCCGCCTTTCCGTTCTATGTCAGAAGCATCTGGGACAGAACCTTCCCTCGGGCCTCGCTGCCTGCAGCTACCAGTGACTGCTGTTTCCCAGGGCCACGTGATGGGTGCTTTTCTGGATTCTTGGGTATGATGAGTGGCCTTCCTTTAAGGCCTTTGATGAGAGGGGTAATGTAACCAGGACACCCTGTGTCCTCAGCTCAGCTTTCTCCATGTTGCCCTGTGTGCTGCCTCACCCCGGACTCCTCATTTGCTTGCCGTCTTTCCTGTTGTCCAGCCCTTCCTTCACCTGTGCCTAGCAGACTATCAGAACTTTCCAGCTGCTATGTAGCACACCCATGGCCTGGCAGCTGCCTGGAGGGGCCGAGTCAGCAAGAGATTCCGAGATGTGTGCGTGTGTGTGTGCGTGCATGTGTGTGTGCGTGCATGTGTGTGTGCGTGCATGTGTGTGTGCACGTGCGTGTGTGTGTGCGTGTGTGTGTGCGTGCGTATGTGTGCGTGCTTGTCTGCGTGTATGTGTGTGTGTGCGTGCATGCGTGTGTGCGCGTGCGTGTGTGTGTGTTCTTTAAGATTGATTTATTTTAAAGGCAGAGTTAGAAAGATCTTGAATCTGCCGATTTACTCCCCAGATGGCTGCGATGACCAGGGCTGGGCCAGACTGAACCCAAGAGCCAGGAGTTTCCTTCAGGTTCCCCCACAAGGGTGTCAGGGGCCCAAGCGTTTGTACCGTCCCCCGTTGCCTTCCCAGGAAGCTGGATCAGGAGTGGAGCAGCTGGGACCCAAACCAGTGCTAGGATGGGATGCCAGCCATTGTGGTGGTTTCACCCAATTCACCACAGTGCCAGCCCTGTACACTGTGTAGAACAAGGCCTGTACCCACAGACTTTGTCACGCATCCAGAAAGAGAAAGAAAAGAAAGAACTGTGTAAGTTTCCTGTATAAGGAAATAGTAGACAAAATACCACAGAGGGGGCCGGTGCTCTGGCATAGGGGGTAAAGCCCTAGCCTGCATTGTTGGCATCCCATATGGGCGCTGGTTCAAGTCCCAGCTGCTCCACTTCTGATCCAGCTCTCTGCTGTGGCCTGGGAAAGCAGCAGAGGACGCCCAAGTCCTTGGGCCCCTGCACCCACATGGGAGACCTGGAAGAAGCTCCTGGCTCTTGGCTTCAGATCGGCTCAGCTCTGGCCATTGTGACCATCTGGGGAGTGAACCAGCGGATGGAAGACTGACTCCCTCCCTCCCTCCCTCCCTCCCTCTCTGTCTCCCTCTCTCTCTCTCTCTCTCTCTCTCTCTCCCTCCAGCTCTGCCTTTCAAATAAATACATCTTAAAAAAAAATACCACAGAGCCGTGCTCATTTAGGTGCCAAATAAAATTCCAGCAGGTGGCTGAGAGACAGGCTGGGCCATCTCGGGCTGGGGCTTGTTAGTCTGTTTAGGTGGCCAGAGACCCACAGGCTGGGCAGCCTGACCACAGGGGTTTGGTGCCTCACAGCTCTGGAGGCTGCAACTCCGAGATCACGGTGCCAGCTGGCCGCTCTCTCCTGAGACTCCCTCCTCAGTTTCTCCATGGCTGGTGCCCTGCATCTTCACACGCTCGTCTCTACCGTGTCTGTGTCCTGATCTCTTCTTAGGAGACCGCCAGTCATACTGGATTCCAGCTCCTCACTGTGACTTAGTCACCCCAAGGCTCCGTCTCCAAGTGCAGTTTTCCCAGGTACTGGAGATTTCAGCATGGGCACTTTGGGAGAACACAGCTCCGCCTGTAACAGGTGATGTGCGGGGCGTCTGAAGTGCTCTGTCTCTGTGGGTTCAAAGAATGTGGTGTTTTTTTTTGTTTGTTTAGTTTTTTTTTTTTTTTTTTTTTTTTTTTTTTGACAGGCAGAGTGGACAGTGAGAGAGAGAGACAGAGAGAAAGGTCTTCCTTTTGCCGTTGGTTCACCCTCCAATGGCCGCCGCAGCCAGTGCGCTGCAGCCAGCGTACTGTGCTGATCCGAAGGCAGGAGCCAGGTGCTTCCTCCTGGTCTCCCATGGGGTGTAGGGCCCAAGTACTTGGGCCATCTTCCACTGCACTCCCTGGCCACAGCAGAGGGCTGGCCTGGAAGAGGGGCAACCGGGACAGAATCCGGCGCCCCGACCGGGACTAGAACCCGGTGTGCCAGCTCCGTAAGATTGAGGATTAGCCTATTGAGTCGCGGCGCCGGACAGAATGTATGTTTTGTACTTTGACATTTCTGAAATTATTTCTGACCTTTGATGTATAGTTTTAAAAAGCATAGTTCCCTGATTGTTCCGCTAATGGCCGACAGGGAGGACAGGACCAGCTTTCGCTAGGAAAGAAGTGTGGTGTTAGATGAGCTGGCCTGTGTGCCCACTGGAGCACAGGGCGAGGGCTTTTCTTCTCTAGACACCTGTCCAGGGGCTGGCGCTGTGGCACAGCAGGGTAAGCCTCCACCTGCGGCACCGGCATCTCGTATGAGTGCTGGTTTGAGTCCCGGCTACTCCACTTCTGATCCAGCTCTCTGCTATGGCCTGGGAAAGCCGTAGAAGATGGTCCAAGTGCTTCGGCCCCTACACACATGTGGGAGACCCGGAAGAAGCTCCTGGCTCCGGATTGGCCCAGTTCCGGCTGTTGGGGTATGAATAGCGGGTGGAAGACCTCTCTCTGTTTCACCTCTGTGTCTTTAACTCTGCCTCTCAAATAACTAAAATCAATTTTTTAAAAATTTGCTTGTCTGGAATGAATCTGTCTTCGGTTTGCTTCCCTGTCCCCAACCATCACATTCCCCTTCTTCTTCATCCCAGTCGTCTGCCTTCCTCTGCCCAGAGCCCCAGCGAGTTGGTTCCGTCCAGTGAAGTTACAGAGCACAGGAGCCTGGACCTGGCTCTCTGAGCACGCAGGACACGTTTTCCCCCTCTTGTGGGGGCATGGCCTGAACCGGGTCCCCTGCCCCCAAGTCCCCAAGTGGCTGCATTTGCAATAAGGAAGGAACTGAAGTAGATGGGGCCAGGAGTGTGGGCTCTGGTCCAGCAGGGTTAGGTCCAGTGTCTTTACAGGAAGGGACTCCACAGAGAACTCCCCCCTATACCCTTGCGGGGACAGTGAGAAGGTGGCCATCTGTAAGCCAGGAAGCCCCTACTAGGAAGTGACTTTCCAGTCTCCATAACTGAGAAAATAGTGTTCTGCTGTTTAAGCCACTCCATCGGACCTGCTGTCACAGCAGTCCATGCTGACTCCTACTCGGGTGTGAATTCCTCGGAGAGCGGTCAGTGCTCTCAGTTGTCTGGGCTGACTTCAGTGTAAGCTCCTCCCTGGACCAAAAACAATCCACTAGGTTTGGGCTTGGGCCAGTCAAGCTGTGCCCCTGGCACTGGGACAGTATCACTAGTAAGGACAGATAGGTAAGCAGTCATGGGGGCCAGCATTGTGGTGCAGTGGGTTATGCCACCGCCTGAAGCACCAGCATCCCATATGGGCACCTGTCCAGTCCCAGCTGCCCACTTCTTATCTGGCTCCCTGTTAATGCACCAGATGTGGTAAGGTTTCTTGCGATGAGGTGGTCCTGGGTTTTCTGGATGAATCCTAAGTGAAAGGACAGGTGTCCTTACCAGAGGGAGGAGGAGAAGACAGAATGGAATTATGGAGCCACCAGATGCTGAAACGGCATAAACGTGTTCTCCCCGAGAGCTTCGGGGACCGGAGCCCTAAGGGATTTTGGACTTCCAGCCCCCAGAACTGTAAGAGAAAATGTTTCTCTTATGTTAAGCCTTAAGTTTTTGGTTATTTATTAGAGCAGCCTTAGAAAACTAATCTATGGCCGGCGCCATGGCTCACTAGGCTAATCCTCCGCCTAGCGGCGCCGGCACACCGGGTTCTAGTCCCGGTTGGGGCGCCGGATTCTGTCCCGGTTGCCCCTCTTCCAGGCCAGCTCTCTGCTGTGGCCAGGGAGTGCAGTGGAGGATGGCCCAGGTGCTTGGGCCCTGCACCCCATGGGAGACCAGGAAAAGCACCTGGCTCCTGGCTCCTGCCATCAGATCATCGCGGTGCGCCGGCCGCAGTGCACCGGCCGCGGCGGCCATTGGAGGGTGAACCAACGGCAAAGGAAGACCTTTCTCTCTGTCTCTCTGTCTCTCTCTCTCACTGTCCACTCTGCCTGTCAAAAAAAAAAAAAAAAAAAAAAAGAAAACTAATCTAGCCAGTGGATTAAAGTCTACTTAATCAGAGAAAGCGGTGTTTCAGGCTGCCAGGTGGCCCAAAGAGCAGACCTTGGTTTCTTGCAGTTCTGGACACTATAGGCCCTAGAGGCTGGCAAGGCTGGATCCTAGCGAGAGCTCTCTTCCTGACTTGTGGATGGCTGTCTTCTATCCTTGTCCTCTGATGGCCTTCCCTTACTGCATAGAGAGAGCACTTCTGGTGTCTCTTAAAAGGACACTAATCCTATTAGAGGTCTTACATACTCTTTTAATTTTACTTCCTTATAAATTCTATCTCCAAATAAGGTCACATTGGGGATTAGGGTTTCAACATGAGTTTGGGGGTAGGGGTATGTGCCACAGTTCAGTCCTTAACGCGTGATCAATCAAGACTTAAATTGATTTAAAACAAAATTTAGTGTCAACAGATTGTTAGTGAACACCAGGCAAGCAATTCTATTTGAATAAAAATAGTATTTAAATTAAATGTGGAAATGGAATATTGAAAACCATGAACATAAGTAGAATAAGGTAATCTGGTATTACATGAATATATCTACATAATTACATATATAAAATACACATGAGCTGTCTTAGGCAATGATGCTATTGTGATTACTCAAATTGGAACCTTTGCCCAAAGAACGTGTTACAGTTCAGATATGTATAATAGCAATGAGTCACTCAAGCTATGACTCAGCCTAATTATGTCTAATTATTTTTAGCTTTGGTCTCAGATTTTTTTTTTTTTTTGCCAGCAGAACTCACATTTGGCATAGAGAGCTGAATGCAAGATGTATTTTTATTATTTATAATTGGATAAACTTGATGTGAAAAGTATTTCGGAGCATGTTAGGAGACAAGAATAAAGGGCTGAGTTCCTGAGAAGAGTTCTGCATTATACAGACTAGCGAAGTCCCTGTTCGCACTTCACTTTGGAGTTTCTCTGGGATCATAAGCCATCCCTGTAAGGGGTGTAGTAGAGAGGTGAACAGTTAAGGATCTGAAGTGATCCAAGCATGATACTTAAAGCTGTGATCTGAGAATTTAGAGAACTTGAAAGAAGTGAGGTACACCATGTTGGAGTTGATGGAGACAAAAGTCCTGATAATGATTTTTCAAAGAATGCAGCCTGGGTGAGACACAGTCGACACTGGAGACATGGTCCGTGAATATCACACAAGAGAACCAAAGAGGTCCTTGGGAATTGGTGCATTACTTGTCGCCTTCAACTTTATCATGTGGCATGTTACGTGAATAACTTGGAAGAATGCATATAATCATTGTATGTGAACCCTGATGTTGTGCCTCAGAAACAACATGGATTCTCACTGAAAAGCTTTTACATTCTCTAAGCTCCAAGTAGGTTATCAGTGGTGGAAACACTTCTGGAATGGAATGGCGGAACAGAGACCTCCAAAAATCAGCTCTTCCATAAAAGCAACAAGAGCAAAATACAAGAAGCAAAAAGTGGCAGAATTGAAGGGGGAAATGGGCAACCCAACAGTAATGGAGATTGTCCCACGTTCAGTGGATGGAACACCTAGTCAGAGGGTCAACAAAGAAATACCACTCTAAGCCGGCCCTAGCGGACCTCTGTAGAACACTCCCGCCAAGAACAGCGGGACGCACTTTCTTTTCCATGTGCGTGGGGCGCTCTCCAGGACAGACCACTTCAGGCCACATGACAAGCCCTGTAAGTTAATAGGATTGAAATCACACAGAGTGTATTCTCCAACCACAGCAGAATAAGATGAAAAATTAATGAAGTTTGGGAAACTCACATATAGGGAAGCTGAATAACATTATAAAGAATGGCCAGAGGAAACCACAAGGGGAATTAAGGTATTTTGAGATGAATGAAACAAGACATATGCAATAAAACATGGGGAGCAGGAGCTGCAGTGCTTCGAGGGAGATTTGTATCCAGAAGAAGAAACATCGCTGTAACCAAGTCAAATCGGAACCAGTGTTCCACCCTTAAAAAAAAAAAAAAGCACGCTAAGCCCAAAGTAAGCAGCAGGAAGAAAATAATAAAGACAGTGGAGATAAATTAAATGGAGAACAGAGAATAATAGAGAAAACAATCATTGGTCCTTTGAAAAGATCAACAAAATTAACATTTTAGGGGAAAAAAGACTCAAATTAGTAAAATCAGAAATACAAGGGGACATCAGAGCTGACCTCAAGAAACAGAACTATAAGGAGTATTATGAATAATGATACACCAACATTATATAGCCTAGATGGAATGGACAAATTCCTAGAAATACAGAAAGTACTAAAATTTAAAAAGAAATAGAAAATTTGGATAGACCATTAATAAAGAGATTGAATCAATAATAATAAAAAAATCTACCAGTAAAGAAAAACACAGAGCTGGCGCTGTGGCTCAATAGGCTAATCCTCTGCCTTGCGGCGCCGGCACACCGGGTTCGGATTCTGTCCCGGTTGCCCCTCTTCCAGGCCAGCTCTCTTCTGTGGCCCGGGAGTGCAGTGGAGGATGGCCCAAGTGCTTGGGCCCTGCACCCCATGGGAGACCAGGAGAAGCACCTGGCTCCTGGCTTCCAATCAGCGCGGTGCGCCGGCCGCGGCGGCCATTGGAGGGTGAACCAACGGCAAAAGGAAGACCTTTCTCTCTGTCTCTCTCTCACTGTCCACTCTGCCTATCCAATAAATAAATAAATAAACAAGAAAAACCCAGGACCAGCTGGCTTCACTGGCAAATTCTACCCAACATTTAAGAATTAATAACGACCTTCTCAAACTCTTCCGAAAAACGAGAGAGGAATGAACACTTCCTGACTTTTTAAAGATTTATTTATTTGAGAGACAGAGGCAGAGAGAGAGAGAGAGGGAAGGAGAGAGGGGTCTTCTGTCTGCTGGTTCACTCCACAAATGGCAGAACGCAGAAGCTGGGCTGATCTGATCTGAAGCCAGGAGCCAGGAATTTGCTCCAGGTTTCCCATGTAGGTGCAGGGGCCAAAGGACTTGGGCCGTCTTCCACTGCTTTCCCTGGCCATAACAGAGCTAGATCAGAAGTGGAGCAGCCAGGACTGGAACCGGCACCATATGGGATGTTAGCGCTGCAGGTAGCAGCTTTACCCACTGTGCCACAGCACCAGCCATGTTCCTGACTCTTTCTATGAGACCAGTGCTACTCTGATACCAAAGCCAGACAAATACATTCCAATGAAAGAAAATGATAGACTAATATTCCTCATGCATGCAGATGCAAAGACACTGGGCAAAATACAGTACTAGCAAACTGGATTGAGCAGGATATTAAAGCAATTATATGCCATGATCAACTGAGAATTATCCTGGGAAAGCAGGAGTGGTTCAATATGCAAAAATCAATGTGACACATCAGATTAATAGAATGAAAGAGAAAAAAAGCCCTGTATGGTCATCTCAATTGAAGCAGGAAATCATTTGGCAAATTTCAACACCTTGGGGCCAGAGTTGTGGCACAGCGGGTAAAGCCACTGCCTGCGATGCTGGTATCCCATATGGGTGCCGTTTTGAGTCCCGGCTGCTCCACTTCTAATCCAGCTCCCTGCTAATGGTCTGGGATAAGCAGCGGAAGATAGCCCAAGTGTTTGGGCCCTTGCCACCCACATGGGAGACTTGGATCAACCTCCTGGCTTCAACCTGGCCCAGTGCTGGCTGTTGCTACCATCTGGAGAGTGAACCAGTGGATGGAAGATTCTCTCTCTCTCTGTTTCTGTCTCTCTCTCTCTCGCTCTGTGTCTGTGTGTTTCTCCCTCTCTCTGTAACTCTGACTTTCAAAATAATGAACAGATTTTTTTTTAAGAATCCAACACCTTTTTATGATAAAAATGTACATCAGGGGGAAGGTATTTAGCTTGGAATGCCCACATCCCATCTTGAAGTGCAGGGGCAAATCCTAGCTACTCGGCACTTCCAGTCCAGCTTCCTCTAATGCACACCCGGGGAGGCAGCAGGTGATGGCCTAAGTACTGGGGTCCTTGCCATCCATGTGGGAGACCTGCTTGGAGTTCCTGGCTCCTGGCTTCCTCCTGGCCCAGCCTTGGCTGTTGCAGGCATTTGGGGAGTGATCTAGCTGATGAAAGATTTCTCTCTGTATGTCTCTTTCTCTGTCTCTCTCCCTTTCTCCCCCTTTCCACCCCTCCAAAATAAATAAATTAAAAAATCTTTTAGAGCTGTGTTTTTTTCATTTCTAGGAGGTTAATGTTTGGGGCTAATCCTTGTGGTTTATTATTCTTTTGCCATTTGTTTAGGGAAGATGATCTGAACAATTTTTTTTCCTTTAAAGATGTATTTATTTGAAAGGCAGAGTTATAGAGAGGCAAAGGCAGAGAAAGAGGTCCTCCGTCTTCTGGTTCACTCCCCAGATGGCCGCTACGGCTGGAGCTGAGCTGATCAGGAGCCAGGAACCTCCCTTGGGTCTCCCATGTGGGAGCAGAGGCCCAAGCACTTGGGCCATCTTCTGCTGCCTTCCCAGGCCACAGCAGAGAGCTGGATTGGAAGTGAAGCAGCCAGGACTTGAACTGACGCCCATGTAGGATGCTGGCACTGCAGGCAGCAGCTTTACCTGCTATGCCACAGTGCTGGCCCCTGAAAAAATTTTTTTCATTGAATCAGACATAAAATGTTTCAGACATACAAAAGAGTTGAATGCACTTATGTACTCACCATCCAGGTTGAACGCAGAGTTAACACTTTGCCATATTTCCTTCAGGTTTTTTGTTAAGGAAGCATAGCGTTGCAGCTTAAATCCCCACTCCCAGACCCCTTCCTTCCCCCTCAGAGTGACCACAGAGGTGTTCAGTGTATTTGTGCCCTGGTGCTCACAGCCTCATGGGGTCAGTGGCTCAAAACTTCTTCCCCCTTGTGTTTTTATGGGTTGCGATATTTGGTATTATTTTATAAATTTACAGTTTCTGTGGCGTGTACCCTTTGGTGCTTCTCCTTTATCAGATAATTTTTTAGTGTTTTGTCGTATTGTTATATTTAGGTCTCTGTCATTTAATAGCAGTATACTGTTCTGTCTATTTGATTTCTATCTGTTCATTCCCCCATGCAGTGACAAGCATGTGACACTTAGTATTAGCTATTATTATTGGTGGAAGTTTCGAAGCAGTAGTTTCTTTTTGTTATTGTAAGTAGTGGCTCATTGCACAGCCCTGTCCATGCGTTGTGCTCACTGCAGGAGAGGTTCTCTCGGGTGGACTCCTGGGAGTGGGACTGTCGGTTGCTGTAGAGGTTGTAATCCCAGGTTACTCCCCACAGCGCTGTGCCCATATACAGTCCCTCCAGCAGTGTGTTTGGTTGGTCGGTTTTGAATTACGGTGACTGTAGATACGGCCTGCCCTGAGCTGCATCGGGGGCCTGGGTCCAGGCAGGGCTTCCTGAGCTACAGACATCTCCCTTGTGAAACCGCCTCCCCAGCCTCCTTCCACCACCCCTGCCCGCCCACCGCGGCCTCCGCCCCATCCGCTCCTTCCTCTCCGCTGTAGTACCCGGCACAGGGCAGGCTGCCGCAGCTAAGGTCTGAGAGCCAGTCGCCCTGCACGGAGTCGGCCTGCCCCTCGCTGCACCTGCCTGCCCCAACCCAAGCCTCTCATAGGAGCTGCTTGAATCCAGGGAATTAATTCCCCCAGCCTCTGGTGTGGTGCCCGCCACCTGATGTTCATCGAGCAATCAGTTTGTGTGAACCAGACTTGTGCCCTGGGTCAGATCGCTTCCCATTCCTGGGCTGGCTTCCAGCGCGTGCTCCGGGGAGAGACACGGCACTCGATGCATTTCAGCTCTGAAGCTCTGACACAGGAGGTCACTTCCTAGGAACAGCTGCTCAGCTGTCCACCCCTCCCCAGCCCCAACGTTTGAGGCTGTTCACCCAGTCCTGTAAGAATCCTAAAGGCTTTCCCCCGCTTCTTTGACGTCCATGATGGGAGTCGTGCTTCTGTCAGCTGATGTGCGGAGATCCCCACAACCACCTTCAGGTCCAGTGACTGCTGGAAAGACTCAAAACTCAGAGAAGCTGGGACGCTCAGGGCACTCTGCATGGGCTCGGGAGTGACAGATCACTGTCAGCAGTCATGGATGCGTGGGGGAGTCGGAGCCCCCAGCCGCCTCTTGGTGACGATGAAGGGAGGTGGTGGATATTTGGTCGGAGCAGGGGAGGTGCATGAGGGTGGGTTGGGTCATAAGGGCTGCAAGGAGGGAAGGATGAGGATGAGGTCAGGTTTCGCTTGGTGAGGGAACGTGTGTGTGTGCAGGGGCCGGGGGTAGCTGGAGAGGGAAGTGGAGACAGTTCTCTCTGGAATATGTTGTTCTAAGGTGCCTGTGATACATGCGTGCAGGTCTGAAGTTCAAAGCGGGGGCTGGCGCTGTGAGAAGCCCACGACAGCCAGGGCTGGGTCACGATGAAGCCAGGAGCCAGGAACTCTGGGTCTCCCACATGGATGGTGTGGACCCAGGTACTTGAGCCATCATGCGATTGGGAGCTGAGGAGGAGAGAAGTGTGGAAAGAAGCACAGGTGGGGCCAGCGCCGTGGCACAGCGGGTTAAAGCCCTGGCCTGAAGCACCATCCCATATGGCATCCCATATGGGTGCCAGTTCTAGTCCCGGCTGCTCCTCTTCCCATCCAGCTCTCTGCTGTGGCCTGGGAAAGCAGTAGAAGACGGCCCAAGTGCTTGGGTCCCTGCACCCAGATAGGAGACCCGGGAGAAGCTCCTGGCTCCTGGCTCCTGGCTTCAGATTGGCGCAGCTCCGGCCGTTGCAGCCATCTAGGGAGTGAACCAGTGGATGGAAGACTCTCTCTCTCCACCCCTCTCTTTAATTCTTTCAAATAAACAAAATAAATCTTAAAAAAATAAAAGAAGCAGCAGCACAGGCAAAGCTGCAGAAGTTGGGTTGGGGAGATCAGGGGAAGGTGGAGGTGGTGCTGGGGAGAGATGTCCTGAGCGGGAGGACACTGAGAATGTTCCAGGGGGAGGAGTCGAGGGAGAGGACAGGGAGAAA